TACCGCGGCTGAGCGGTTGCGTGTGACATGTGATAGGGCAAGGGTTCGGCCCTCGATTTCCCGATTTGGGTATCCGCCGGTGTGTGTGTGGCCGGTGCGCGTGTGGCCGGTGCAATCCATTCCTGTTGAGCCGTAGGACGCGGTGGTCATTCTGCAGTAGAGCGAGGTTGCTCTTAGTGAGTGGGCTCGGTGGCCGTTGTCCAGTGTGTGTGGCTTGTGAGCCTATGGGTTCTGAGCCGGTATGTGTGGCCGGTCAGTCGGTATCCGTTGGGTGTGAGAGAGTTCGAAGCTCGCCTAAACTCGCTTGGTGTCGTGAGTTCGGCGAGTTCTCGGTAGTGTCGGAGGGAGTTCGGTAGCTCGTTTGGGGGGGGGTTTTGAGTGAGGAACGTTCGGTTTTGCCGTTAAATGGGTGAATGTCAAGAGTGGATGGTGTAAAAAAAGTGGAAACCGGGCGTGGGTGACCCGGAAACACTGGAGAGCTCAGCAAAGGGTCCAAGATACAACAAGACCCTTGGCTGGGGGTGATTCGGTCTATCCTACGCGTACAGTGATGTAGCGTAAACAGAAAGAAAAAGTGTGACGTCACTATGTAAATCCTCCAGGTTTACACTGGACGCGACGGTGGCGTGACACGGAAGACGCTAGTGGTAGCCAGGACGAGAGTCATGGAAAAGCGAGGCGCGGCGAGAGGCCAGTCTGGGCCGCGAAGGATCAGGCTAGACCAACAACAGACAAGCAAAATCGTTCGAGAGAAGAGTGTGGCATTAAGAATAACAAGTGAGACTACTGGGTCTGAAGTTCTGCAATAGCAATAACACGGCGGGCGGACAACTTCTTCACATCGGGGTGGATAACCCCGGACTTATCCACCAACGAAATAACCTGGCCAAGCAAGTCGGAGTCATCGCAAGCTGAAGCGAACGACTCGTATCCATTGAGCACGAGCCCATCGAAAGATTCGAAGGTGACCTGTCAATTGGCAATAACGTCAGAGATACACAAGACAGAACGGGGTGGTAAAATACCTGGAACCTGTGGATAGCGCCCTGGACAATACGATTGATGCGGGTAATAGCCTGGTCAAAGCGGGGGCCTGCGTCCACTTCGTCAATAACCTGGCAGTCGATCTGGGCGGTTAAATCGTCCTGAATCTCGGCGAGCTCCATGATACGGAAGTCAGTAAGGGTGCGCATAAGGTTAGCCGGGTCGGTGAAGCAGCAGGATCGTGCGGCGGAAGTCGCGCAGGCAGCACATGGGGTGCCCATAGATCGGAAAAGACATATAAGTTGCTTTTCGGCGCAAAAAGAGCAGCGTTGAAGGTCCTATGCAAAGTCAATATAGGCAGAAAACGGGAGAGTACGAGAACAAATGGTAGTACGGTGTTTTATGGCACGATCTACTTGGCCCGAGACCACTGGGTAAGGTGCCCGGCTGACCAATGGGAAACGGATGCGGCCTCGTTCGTCGGACATCATGGACAATTTGGAACTGCCGTTGGGTTTGAGGGGTTCCGGATGGTCATGGTGTGCCGTAACAAAGGTATTGGAACTGGATCCAGAGGAGTGCGCGTCTGTCGAAGGCGGAAGTGGGGGAGAGACAGAGAAATGTGAATGCTCGGGGCCTGTATTCGTGGCCATGCGAGAAGGCGTTGAGCCAAGCGAAGTGACAAACTAGAGTTATAAGCCTCAAGGCGCATCAACAGAAAGAGCAAAGGACTTACAGTGACACGCTAGCAAACAAAATGGTTCGACACAACAGGCTAAGATTGAACAAAGTTAATGGGACCGGCCCGAGAGCAACGAAGTGGATTGGTACGATAAGAGGCTAATTACATGGCAGTCTAATCAGAAAAACGAGAGTCTAATGCTAGGCGAAGAACGTGGGCAAGGTGGTCAGAGTTGATAGGGAGGGCGGCCAGGTCGGGCGTAACCGGTCGAAGAGATGCCGTGTATCGCTTGGGAAGTGGCCTGAACAAAATAACCAAACGAGTAAAGTGGTAAGGGGACAACATACATCGAAAAGCGCGATGGCGCCTTGCACGGACCGGTCGGTGTGCTCGACGGCGTGGTTGGCACAAATCTCTTAAACAGGGTTAAGAAAAAGAAAAACGGGAGCGGCAGGCCAACATACCATACTGAGCGCAGTCAGAAATCTGTTTGGCCAACTCAGCCCAGATTCCAAGAATCTCCTCTTCGCGCCACTGTTCCAACGACTCCAAGAAGAGATGGGGGTTGGTGAACGAACAATCGTCCTTGGCGGCGAATAAGCAGTTAGCGCACGGTACGCCGTTGGAGCGGAACCGGCAGGGGATTTGGTTGTTAGCGCATGGAGATGCGCATGTGACGAGCGAGCGCACATGGCGGTTATGTCATATGATATGTATGTATGGACAGTATATAAAGGCCTGGTGGAGAACGGATTCTCCACCAGTTGTACCCCTTCTACAGCGTCCCGCGTGATCGCTGGTAGGCTCTTGGCAACGGATCTTTAACACAACTGGTCAATATCACCTTTCGGCGCCTGGATCATTCTTGCGCTGGTTTACATCTTGGATCTCTCTCACGCTCTTATCTCGTACGACATGTCCTCGGATACTACTGTTCTCGATAACCACTCGTTGGTCGTCCTCAAGGAAGGAAACTATGCCGAGTGGGCTATTCGGACGGGCCCTATTGATCCGGCGGAAGCTGTGGACTCAAATTCAGCCGCGGATCACGATTCCGGCCAACACGAAGGAGGAGGACGAGGAGTCAGTGGCGGCTACGCTGCTGCAGAAGGCGTTGGAGGTGAGGGATCCGGAGAAGATGGAGGAGGCGCATGCGGAGCTAGTGCTTTGCGTCTCGGCGTCTCAGCTGGTTCATTTTGGAGACGAACTCGACCCGCGGCTGGTTTGGCTTGCGCTAGAGGGTATACATCGCGTTCGCGGGTTGGCGGCTCAGCTCGCGGGGAAGCGGAAATGGTTGGGCATGGTGAAGGGTGAGTCGGAATCGATGCTGGAATGGATTGGTCGGGTGATGGATGCGGCGGCGGAGCTCAAGCTGATTAATGCGCCGCTCAGCGATCTCGACATTATCCTGGCGCTCACGAATGGGCTGGGGTCGGACTTCAAACCCCTGGTATTTGCGATCGACGGACTGCCTGGCGATGACTTGACGGTCGCCAACGTCAAGAGTCGCTTGCTCAGCTGGAAAATTATCGACGGCGGACATGGGTCGTTGGATGGCGGCGCGTCTTCGGCACTGCTGGCTAGAGGTGGTGCGGCGAAGGGGCGGGGCTGCTTTAAATGCGGCAAATTCGGCCATATCCGGAAGAACTGCCCGGAGAACACGAAGGGTGGTGGGAATGGCGGCGCTGCGGGACTTGCAGCGGGAGGTTTTGCTTACGCCTGGTAGGTGTGTCTCGCTCGTGGGGAAGTGTTAGCGCATGGAGATGCGCATGTGACGAGCGAGCGCACATGGCGGTTATGTCATATGATATGTATGTATGGACAGTATATAAAGGCCTGGTGGAGAACGGATTCTCCACCAGTTGTACCCCTTCTACAGCGTCCCGCGTGATCGCTGGTAGGCTCTTGGCAACGGATCTTTAACATTGGTGGTGGAAACAGTACGAGCACTTGGACAGCGACTACAAAAACGGAAAGTCAGCAGGGCACAAAACTCGAGAAAGACACGCGCCGGAGAACGAGCACGAATGGCTCTTTGGACCTCGTTGGAGTTAGCAGCAAAAGGGTGGTCGTGCAAGCGGGGCAATGTGATTTCGCCGTGGGGCCCAGTCGAGGGCTTAAGCTGGACAGCGGGAGCTGGGACCCGAGGAGAAGGTGAACGGGGCGATTTCGAAGAGCGGAGAGCGCGGCTCAACCGCGTAGTCGTCGATATAGGCAGCGCAAGGCATAAGGATAAAGGCGAAAGTGAAGCTGGAGCAGCAGAAAACCACCTCGCTAATTTATGGAAAAGCCTCGGCAAAAGCTGTCAAGACGGGTAAATGACGACGTGCTGACTGTGGACAGTCAGAATTTTTGAAAAAGGGAGATGAAAGGCGGCCAACGCGTTGGGAGGGTGCAAGAGCCCTGGAAACAGGGGTGAGCGAGGACTAGAGAGGATCGGGGGGTGGATCTGGTTGACGGGGCGACGGGCGACGGAGCGGACTCCGAGGAGCGGTCACGTGCCATGTGGCGCGTTGGCCAGCGACGGTCGAGCAGGCGACGCCGATGGATCTGGAGGGATCTCAGATGGGATCTCGATGGCTTAGGCAGCGCTGGGTAATCCGCAGCACCCCTACATGTATATAAATTCGCGCGATAGAGCGCTGTTAATGCACTTTTTTGAAGTCCCTCGCTCGGAGCGAAGGTTTGATCGGAAACGTCAACGGAACGGAACGGAACGGACTTAACGGGAAACGATCGTATTGACTCAGCACTCGGACTCTCACGTACACGCCGACTCGGACCGTCGCCGCACTATACTCTACATCAAACTACTATCGCCCTCGTTGTCTGGAACGACGATCAACTACACTTTATCACCACCACTACACCAAACTCGGATTGCAGCTGTCATATACCTTGACAGGAGCCCCCGGACACGCGCGCATTGACCACGGACGACAACTGGATTGGACTACGACTACATTTGGGTTAGGATATATTTAGGTGTGTGTTGTTAGGTTCTAGCTAGTCTGTGACTAGCTCTCTTTTCCATCCCCATCCCATCCATCACATTCCATCCACCCTCCCCGTTCTCAGCGTTTCAGGGGAAAGGCCAAAAAAGACAAAAAAAAATGTTGATGCTAAGGTGCCAAGAAAGATATGGAGTTTGACAGCATGGATTTTATTAAAATGATGGGAAAACATGTAAATCATCAATGTTTTTTAAAAATGTTAATATGCTAATTACAAGGGATCTTTTTTTAAAAAAAATGCCGTATACACCTGCATATGTAATGTCTGCACAGTGTATGTATTGTACTTCCAGCTGAATTTGAGATGATTTCAAGTCCGCTCAAATAACCTCCTGCATGCGAGCTTTCCTGTCGTTCATGCTAACATCGTCGCCCATATCCTCCGCCGGCGTCTCGCTGCCCTTCGCCCGCCGCGAGTCCAGGCCCCGGATGTCGTTATCCTTGTCGACCTGAACGATGTGGTGAACATCTACAGTCCCGCATCAACACTATAAGCAGACGAAACGAGGACAACGCACGAATGCCGCCAAATGTGTCGAGCCGCGTCGGGCGTGGGTTGCCTGAGCCGCCGCCGCCACGAGTGCCCGAGAACTCGTCCGATTTCTCGGTTGAGTTGCCTGACTCGCCCATGCGGCGCGTCGTGAGGTTAAACAGCAGCGTGCAGCCGTACAGCCGGCCGAGCGCGAAGCCCGGGGCCAGCGCGATGGCGGTGTTGGGGAAAATGGCGAAGAGGATGAGCACAAGCGTTGAGACAAAGGCGGTTGCGGAGCCGGTCTGGATCGTGCTGACGGTGAGGCGGTGAATGATGCTGCGCGTGGTCTTGAAGGTGCTCTTGAGGCCTAGGCTGCGCAGCTTGAGCACGAGCGCGCCGGCGATGCCAATATCTGTGGCGACGGAGGTGATGAACCAGACCCTGTGGGTGGTTCACCTCTAAGGAGTGGTGATGGAAGAGAAAGGGGCGGACATGGTCATTGGCACGACTTTCTGCCTCTGGCTCACTTCGCGGTACGTGATTGTGAGGACGGCCGTCCCAAGGGCGCCGCCGATGGAGGTCAGCGCGCCGAGCGCCAGGATTGCACAGACAATGTAGTTCTTCGACCTGGGAAAGCTGTCAGCGCATGCGGGAGAGCATAAATTAGCGGCGCACAGGATGCTGTAGCGCCAGATTAGGTATAGCTGGACGATGAACCCGCTGAGGCCGGTGGTAAGGCACTTGGCCTCGGCCAGCGCTGCATTAGTCAGGCAACGGAGCAGGCGGACGCACATCGATGGGCAAGGCATTTAATGTGAGATACGACAGGTCGCCCCAGTGGGAGACTAGCAGCTGCCACAAGTGTAAGAAATGAAAGTGGGCAGATTGAAAGCCAACGCACGAGGTAGCAATACGCCGAATCCCCGACTGCTCCGGCGGTATCTACCAGCAGCTGGAATGCGACAAGCCAGCGCACGAACTTGGTGTTTGCGCCGGGCGACCGCACTGCGAGCGAAATGGTTCAGTCCAGATTATGTGAACGGAAGAAGGATTGCGCACGATGGTGATTGCTGTAAAATTGGTACGCAAGCAAAATTTCCAGCGTGTAGACCATCGCGTTGAGCCATGTGCCCACCAGCACCGGCCTGGAATGGAACCCTGTGAGCGCGTGGACAGAGCCAGGCCAGGACGACGCACCCAAAGATGTTCTGTAGTGAGGCAGGCACTGCGCTCAGACTGGCCATGGGGAGGAAGGGTGAGCGATCCCCTATGGGTTTTCCATATAAACGGAAACGGCTCATCGTGATCGATATCCCCTCCATTCTGGTGTCCAATTAACGCCCTGATACCCGCCAGTGGCTGGTCTCGCTTCGAACTTTCCACCCCTAACTTGTGTGGCCTGAAGCTGGCTCTGGGCGTCTTTGCCCACAACACGCGGCTCGATGCCTAGTCAGACCAGTTGACGTTCGCACCACCATGGCGCCAGCAGCGTTCCATAGTCCCCAGATGGACTGCGAGCGCAAGTGGCGACCAATAAGTAGGACTTGGCATCAGCGATTGCACCGACTATTCGGGGATCTTGCCAAATGGGCCTCAGGCCCCGGCTTTGAACTCGTCGGCGCCCATAAGTATTGCGGTATAGGTACATACCTGTGGTGGCGGCGCAATGAGTCGACAGTGTGCCCCTACCGCCAGGGGAATTTGTCACGATGGATTGAGATTCAATCAGTCCGCTGCTGGCCCGGATTGGGCCCCGCGCTGACGGAGAGGGATGAAGCCGCCCACGTGGCGGCGAAAAAATTTTAGGCTCGGGGGCCGGGGGCTAGGCTTCGGTCACTCATCTGTCACTGGCATTACGATTCTCGAGATTTTTACCACTTACCTCATGCCCCTTTTTGCCAATGCGCAGAGGTCAACAAGATTCAGTGACGCGCCGACGCTTCTGCTCCTCTAGCGGCCCCAAACACGGATTGTAGCTGCCTCCCATCGTAATGCCATCTCGACATCCATCCTGAACGACACGGAGTCTGAGCTTGAATGATACATGTGGCCGGTCACCGCAGGTATGCTTGTCCAACTAACTCGACTTGACGACGACTGCGACTGACTGACGGGCGGATATCAGGATGGCGGAAGAACGCCGGGCATGGCGTGTAGACATCCAAGTTTAGAACGGAGGCGGTGATTGGGCGAAGCAGTGTGTGTCTCCTCCCTCCCTCACCCGCGAATGCGGCTACGCCCCTCGTGTCCTTTCTTCTGTCAGCGCCAGCCTCGCCACTGCCACCGAGACGGTCGTTAACATCACCGTTGACGACACGGACTACGCCTATTTCACCTTCAATAACGCAACCGACGGGGAGGGCATATGGCATGCAGCGTCGACGACCCACCCGTGCGATAGCTGCGCGGCGCATCCTGAACTGCGGGACCGGGAGACTGTGGCGGCGCTCCACAACGGGACATGGCATGATGGGACTTTGGGTTGTACGGGGTCGCTGACGTTCAATGGTGCACGTTTCTCTCTCTCTCGCTGCCTCAAACGGCTGACGAATCGCAGGCTCTGCGGTATATATCTATGGTATCGACATCGGCCGCGTCTCGGCCGCAAACATCTCGTTCCAGCTGGACAATGGACCGCCGACCTTCCATGCCTCTAACTTCTCCGACCCGCAAGCCATGCTACCCAACTCGCTCTTCTTCGAGGCATCGAACCTGCCGCTAGCCACACAGCATGCTGTTCGCTGGACGTTGATGAACTCGAGCGAAGGAGGGCTGTCTGCATTGTTTGACTATGCGGTGGTGACGGTGTTGCAGCAGGATGGAAGCGGGAGCGCGGGCACCAGCTCCAGGCGCGTTTGCCACTGCTCAATATGTAGCTACACATGCACTAACTTCTACCCAGTCCTCCTCCCGACCAAATGCCTGTCACTACACCCACGTCCCCACCCCCCCGCCAAACATACAAGTCTCAACCTCGGGGCCATCCTAGGCGGCACCCTCGGCGGCGTCGCCCTCTGCATCTTTACGATTCTTGCGCTATTAATGTTCACGAGACGGAGAAAGCAGCGGCGGATACCACCCTCGCGGATGGTCTTCCCATCGGGCCGGAATCGCCGGGACTACACGGACGGCCGGGAGGCCAGATTCGGCCGCTTCAGCGCACGCAAGCGCGATTCAGGCTTACAGGGCCTGAACACCGGTCCCCGTTTCTCTGAAGATGTCGCGGACGCGCCAATCCTCCCTACTTTGGCCCCGAACAGACTGGCGCCAGAGGAAGGGCGACTGCGGGTTGACTCGTTCGACCGCGCATATCCACCCAATGCGAAGCGGGGCAGCGGCGGGACCGCGAGCGTGAGCACGAGCAGCCAGGTGGTGAACGAGATGATCGAACGCCAGGCGTTGGCGATGCAGAATCGTAAGTAAATCAGCGTGGTGCGGCGACTGAGGCTAACTTGGATCGTCTTGCAGTGCAGGCAGCGTGGAGCGTGAAACACGAAGATTGATAGGCTACAATATGGCCGTAAACTTGGACTCTATTATATATCTATCCATCCGATTTTACAGTGACACCAGCGACCACTGGCAGCGCCCATCCTCAATTCCTAGCCGACGGCGATCCGAGTTCGGGTCTAAGAAAGGAGCCATCTTCCGCCGAGGAGTCGGGTTGTTATAGCTGCTTTAGAACAAGACCCACAAACTTGAAGTCGCCTCAGGCTTACTGTTGTAGCGGTGCAAAACTTGAAAGCGATCGCGGAGGCGTGGGTACGCCGTCGCGGCGCTTGCCCGAAGTATACAAGGACCTACCATCTGACAGGCATCTACTGCTTCAATACAACGTCGCATCTATCAATCTCCCGGTGCGTTATATTAAGCTCACCGCGGAGTCAGCCATGCTATCAACGTCCCCGACAGTGCCCGGTAGTGCCTTCTGCTTGCTCGTGCGGAGTCCCGGCTGCAGTTTCGCTTCTTCCCTCCCCTCCCCCAGCGGGTCACTTTCTTTTCATCATTAGCCCTATGACCGTGACGCCAGCGTTCTCGGCGGCCTTTGACTCGTGCTGGAAATGGGTCCTGTTCCTCATTGCGAAGAAGATAGTACGTGGGTTTCTTGTTTGCACTACGAGTGCGGCTCACACAACGGACTAGGGCCAATCGCTCCTTTATGGTGTGTGGCAAAGCAAATACAATGTGTTCCTCATCCTGATCCGTCACAGCACTTTCCATGGCCCTTCTTTCGTTCGGCATTTTCACTCTCCACCGCCGCAGGCGAATCTCCGGTCCTTCTGCCTCCACCAGCGACAACACCACCCTCTGGCTCGGGTGCTCGTACATCCTCGCCATGCTCTCCACCCTCCAGCTCATCATCGCCTTCCTGGACCTGTCGCTCTCCTTGCGCATTCTGGAGCGCACGCTCGGTGATCGGCAGGCAGTCGGGAGCTGCTCCCGTGCGCCGTGGCTGGCGAATAACGCCGGCACGGCGTTCCATGATGTGGATGTAGTGCAGTGGTTCTTATTCGCCGTCGATGTGTGCGTGTAGTTTGGCCTGCTTTCCTTGCAAATGCCCCTCACTCACAACTTTGGCAGCACGTTCGCTGATGCGATATTCGTGTGTCCATTACAAGCCCGCTATATTGCTGTCCTGATTAGCTCTCAGATCTACCGATGCTACCTCCTCTGGGACCGGAATATCAGGATCATCATCGCCCCCGGTGTCCTCCTGTTCGGCACGGCAAGTAAGTCTCGCTCCCCCCGCCCCATGTACATCTGTTTCAACCCAATTCAAGTAACCGGGATCATCGACTCCCTGCAGCTGGAGAGCGATCCCATGGACCAGCGCGTGCCGCTCATTCTGGGAATCCTCACTAATGCCCTCCTCGTTGCGCTCTCCACATGGCGCATCGTCTCTATCCGGCGCGCGGCCGCCGTTCTTGGCGTGCAAGGTCTACAGGGTCGGTATGGCACCGTCCTCGCCGTGGTGTATGTCTCCCCACATTACCGGACCGTGATTATTAACGCGAACCTTCCGCAGCGCAGAGTCCGGCGCACTCTACGTCGTCACCGCCTTGGTAATCGTGATCGCGCGGTCAATCGACGACGGGCAGAGCGTGGTGTACTACGCCGCGCTCGGGGCGGCGACGCACATCGTGGTATGTGATGGTTTACTTGACTCGGATCTGCACATTTGCACCCCGTATTCATCCGCTTCTGCACAGAACATCGTCCCGACGCTCGCCATCGTCCGCTCCGGGCTCGGCTACAGCACAGAGGCGCATGTCAACAGTGCTAGTCTGCGACAGAAGACAGCTATAGCTGATGAAAGGGCCGACGAGCTCGAGGATTCGGTGGAGAAGCTGCCCTATGCGTGAGCTGGGAGCATGGGCAGCCGGGCTCGAACTGACTTTATGGCTAACCTTTCCCCTCTTTTATGTAAAACTTGACCACTGTACTTACTCCTTACGATTGTATCGGGACATTTGACTCTGTAGCAAAAATATTGAAAACAATGTCAGGGGAACCCCATTCCAACCCCTGGAGATGCCTCCATCTCCAGTCCATCTCTGCTCTGACACTTCTCTCGCCCACACTATCACAGATCCATTAATATCCTCCTGATGGTTGCCCTGGGACCTGGCCCAATAGTGGCAGTGCCAGCTACAGCCAAGTAGTATAAGTATAGCCAGCTACCTAGCAGGCAGACCCTGGGAGTTTTTCTCTTTGGATCCTCAGGCTTCCCTGCTGGGACCTTGATCTCAGGCTTCTAGGGTTTCTTTCCCCTTGAATTTTTTCTAATTTTTTCTTTTCTCGGCAAAAACTACCTGTAGAAACTCAAAATCATTGTTCTAGTTTGTTATGATTTATCTATATACATCAGGAAGTAGGGCTCCTGTGCAGATAGCACTACAACAGCATTCATAGCTCACGTAGCCGTGTAGCTAAGGTGCCAAATATATAGTGATACCGTAGCACTTCATAGCTAACAGTTTGTGCTATCATGCTACTACCGTAGCAGTCTCATATCTTGCTGTAGATTAAGCGAAGGAGTGATTGTCTGGATACTTTCGCACTATGCGTAAAAGACCATAATAGATATTGATTCTGTATATAGAAGAGTAGGTTATTCATCCTCATCCGCATCATCCTCCGAGTCGGTGTCTCCTGTCCGCCCTTCCTGCTGCTCACGTATGGTGTCCTTGATGGCATCGGTTATGAAGCCCTCATCTGCCTTGCTATCCTCGGCCAGGCCTGCATCCTTTCTGCAATCACAGATTAGTATTGACGACAAATCAGTTGCCTGCTTACCGAAGGTTCTTAGCCCACTTGGTCCGGAGCCGAACGGAGAAGGATGGGTCAACGGATTCCCATTGCATGACGTCGAATAACATAGCATAGTATTTCGGTGCTACTGTCTTCGCTTCGAATTTTTGAGTGACACGAACACCGGTTTTCCATTCGTCAAGACAGAATTGAATCTGAGGAGCGGTTACCAAAGGAAGATGGAAAGACGAAGCTTACCATGGTGTAAATGAAGGCTAACGTCGCGAGGCTTATGGGCATAAAGCTTTCCTCATGAATAATGCCAAATGATCGATTGCTGTTGCTGAAGCAGGTCTGACGCAAGATGTTGAGCGCCGTCTTGTTCTCGAAGATGTCCTTCCGCTGCTTGATGCTCTACAAGTAGCGGTCAGCATATGGAATAAAACAGGTGGGTATTGACCTTGTAGCGGTAAGCCTCATCCGTCACAGCGGTACGAAGGCGGTCTAGATTCTTGCGCTGGATCTTGCCCGACTTTCCATCAGTAAGGTAGAAAGCCGCCTGTACAATTGGTCGGGCCGCAGAGATAAACTCCGATCGAACACGACTTAGTCGCTGCTTTACCTAAACCAGGTTAGTGTCGATAATAAGCAGCAACAGAGTACGAACGACACGTTTGATATGAAGGGTAAGTTCGTAGTTTGTTCCTGCCCGACGATTAGCATTGTTCCAACACTCCTCAATGGTTTCGGAAAGGAGCGGCATCTCGTTCGCGATCTCGTTGGCACCGGTGGCGTGGGGATCTTGCGCAGCTGCATGAGTGCGAAGGAACGCCGCCTCGGTAATGACAACCGCCTCGAAGATGTGGCAAGCGTCAATGATGACCTCGTATGGACCCGGAGCGTAGTCTTCCGCTTTGGGCTTGGGGCCAGGGGTGTAGTTGGTGGCAAACGGCGCAACGGTCTTGCCGCTCGAAGTCGTCATCGGAGTATTTGCTAAAAGAGGTCGAGATTAGAGAAGATAAGGATATGTAGGTCATAACGCACCTGAAGCTTCGATCCCGTCCACACGGACCCGAATGCGAGGAGTGCTGGTAGGTATATCGTTGTTCGGAAGTGACATCGCATCGTCGTTCTGATGTGCTCGAGGGCGCTTGGCAGTGAATAGCTGCTCATCGGCATCATCGTCGAAGAGGCTTTTAGGGTCATCAGCAGCCTCGTAAGCGCGCTTGCGCTTCAAGGCATCTGCCGCAGGAGACGAGAATGTCGGATCCACGGTATTATCTTCATTAGTGCGGTCAAGCAGAATTGGCCGCTGCTTGTCAGCATGTCGTTTCTTGACAGGCACACGATCGACTGGCGGCTGTGGTGTGTAAGTCTTGCCCGCGACAGCCTGGAGATTTAACGAGTAAATGACGGAGCACATAGTGATACAACAATACTTACAGAAATGCCGAAGGAATATCGGGCTTGGGGAGGCAGTGTCAGCTCCTCCTCCTCCATTGTGTCACTGGTATCTGCCTCGGCGTCTTGTGGCGGAAGAGCCTCTGGAAAGCGATAAGCAATCTGAGGCCTTGCTGAGGGATATATACCTTGACGTTGGGCTTGTCGCACCAAGATAGCATCCATTTGCTTCTGGAGAGCGCTCAGACGAGCAGCGTCATGGTCTTGTGCTAAATAGAGCGATAGGACAAGCGAAGAGTGTTGGTAGTCGTCACTCACCTTCTTGAAGATGCTGGGTAGCGATTGCGCGTCGAGGGCGGGAACCCGGACCAGTCATGGTGGTGGAGCAAAAGAAACGGGGGTATGTGACCGTCAAAAGAATGGGTACCATATGGTTTGCGTGACTCATCTGCAGATAGGAGAAAGATCGTCTTGTTTCGCACAGCCGCAAATTGCAATTGGATCGACTGCCTTGGCATCCGACTGTCCACGTCTCTCTGAAGACGAAAATGCCCAAGTGTGCATTCTGCAATGCGCGGGTGGCGACCAATAAAGGCCTTACATCCCACCAAAGCCAAAATCGAGCTTGCCTGGAGATTCAAGCGCGTCGTCAGGAACAGAGACAAGCTCCTGCACATATACCGGCTCCTTCGGTACCTTCCCCATCGTTTGACCACCCTGTTCTCGAGGGCCCACGCTCCCCAAGTCCCCGCAGCCCGACAGTGGAGGAGGTGGATGACGACACGACAAATGACCCCATTTCCACATATGATCCCCAATATCTCCATCGACAGTCATATCCTGCGGAGAGAAAGGCAGGGGAGCGGCAGTGGAGGGACAAGACTCCATTTGAGGAGTGGCGCGACCAGCGGGAGGCTAAGGGGGAGGACGCCTGCTCGCCGTTTCCATCGTTAGATGACTGGGATGTTGCTCGCTGGCTTGTTCGGTCCGGATTATCGCAAGGAAGCATCGACGAGTTCCTCCACTTGAAGAACGTAAGCAGGCATATTCGCTGGGAAACTGAGCACTCACATATACCAGGTCCAAGGGAAGCTTGACCCGCCGTTTGCTACCAGCCGAGCATTCTTCAAGCATATTGACGCTCTCCCCACCGGGCCTCAGTGGATGTGTACGCCCATGACAGTGACCGGCGATGAGATGGATGGAAATGGGGAGAGGAAAGTCGAGGTGGTGGAGCTTTGGCATCGAAATCCGTTGCAGTGTATTGCCGAGTTGCTAGGAAATCCCGCATTCAAAGAAGATCAGACATTCAAGCCAATGCGATTGTTTCGAACGCGTGATACATTGACTGGAGAGCTGAAGAATCAGGAGTACGATGAAATGTGGACAGGAACCTGGTGGTGGGACACACAGGTAAGTTTCCGCCATCTTCGATAGAGTGAAAACTCACAAAAAGAGTAGGACCTGCTCGAGGACGGCGCCACCATTATTCCCATCATCCTCTCCTCTGACAAAACTCAGCTCTCCTCATTCGCGGGCGATAAACAAGCATGGCCGGTTTACATCTCGATAGGAAACATCAGTAAATCTATCCGCCGTCAGCCAAATTCGCGAGCCACCGTCCTGCTGGGCTACATACCTGTTCCCAAGCTCGACTGCTACTCCAAAACTGCTCGCAAAGTTGCTGCCTACCAGATTTTCCACGATTGTATGCGCAGAATGCTAGAGGGGTTAGCGGAGGCGGGAAAAGATGGGGTTGATATTGCCTGTGCGGATGGGTGGGTTCGATGGTGCTTCCCGCTGCTGGCCGCCTACATTGCAGACTACCCGGAGCAGTGTCTGGTGGTCTGCTGTCAGGAAAATTCGTGTCCCCGCTGCTCATGCCCACCGAAAGAGCGTGGCTCAACGACTGAGTTCCCTATGCGAAGGCAGGAGGAGACGTTGAGGGTGCTCGGAGAGCAAGCAGCAGGTCAGAAGCCAAAGAAGTTTAGTGAGCTCCATCTGCGGCCAGTCGATCCGTTCTGGGCAGACTTACCTCACTGCGACATCCACTCATGCATTACCCCCGACCTCCTGCACCAGCTGCATAAGGGTGTGTTCGCGGACCACATTTCGAATTGGGCGATGGAATCGATGGAGGAGGGGACAGATGAGGGAAGGAAGAAAGAAGTTGACGCCCGTTACAAGGCGATGCCACGGCATCCCACGTTGCGACACTTCACTAACGGCATATCTGTCATCAAGCAATGGACAGGTTCTGAGTACCGAGGGCTGGCGAAAACATTCCTGGGCGCTATCCACAACGCAGTCGATGAACGGGTGACATCCGTCGTTCGTCACTTCCTCGACTTCATGGGCTATGCCCACTTCCAGGTTCATACTGACGACTCACTGCATCAGGGAATACCTCCCTGGGTAACCTATGCACAATTTGATATAATTATTGATAATTATCCACTATTATCCCATTATACAGAATTATCCCACAAGCAAGATAATTTTTGTTCTTGCTTGATAATTTAGGGCAAATATGATATAATTTAGCGCAACTATTCACTGAATATACCTTCATTCTTCTTCTTCAGTCATGCAGTAGAAGGCACCAGAAACTATATATTCAAACACTATTTACAATACATAGCTCATAGATAACTGATCAGCAACAACCTCCCGATGAACCTCCTCAACACGCCGCCAACGGGGCCGGGGCCCGGGGGGTCGCATGCCCCGGAGTAGGTGACGGCCGAGGGATACCGGGGGGCGAGCGTTGTGCAAAAAGCGCCTTGCAAACGATGAGTAAGTAGCGAGATGACGATGAAAAGGGTACGTACGGCTTCTCCTGAAAGATCCCGGCCAGAACGGGGCAGCCGGTGGGATGGGGCGTGCACAAGGCGTGCAGCTCGACACGCGCCTGTGATCGAGGGCCTGGGAACGCGGCGCGGCGTGGGCAACGACGCAGAAGCTGCATCGTCGCTTTAGACAATGAAATTAGCATTTCAATTCGACCCCAAGGCTGAATAGACTGACCTGGTACCAGCAGGAAACTGAATGCTGCGGGACGACGACCGGGTCGTTCCGCTGGCGAACGCCACTCGTTTCGAAAAACCCCGGCCGGCAGCCGCAGACCGAAGCGTTCGCTCGTTTCGGTCGGGACTTGCAGGAAGCGGAGGAGACGGCCGTCCGTCCCCACCAAGTAAGTTCCAGGCCGAGCATGTGAGGACTCGGCTCACCAGCCTCGAGTCTTGCGCACTAGAGTCAGCTGCACGCAGACCCAGCCGCTGCCGAGTTCCCCTCGAAAACCTCAAGAGCGGGAGGGCTGGGTCGGCGCGACCTACACTCTGAATATCAGCCAAAACAAACAAGAAATGAGCCCGGCGCTCACCAGTCTCGTACCCAACGCGGCAAACAGCGCTGACGACCTCCATCACCCGCCGCAGACCTCGGAGACGCGCCAAGACGGCTACATGCCGTCTGAGGCGTCTCCTTGTGTGGGCAAGACGTACCCTTAGGCCAACCCTGGCCAGGATTAGGCCCAGAGTGTGAGAGTTGCCCCCTGCGCTGCAGGCGCCGCCCTGGATCCGACTATGTAAGTGGAGGTAGTGGGGCCGAGGGAACGTACATGAGTGGAGTTTGTCGAAGTTGCAGTGGTGGTGGGGAAGCCGGTGAGGGGGAGATTGGGGGGAGAGGAAAGAGAGGAAAGTGATGTGACATGAAAATTTTCGGTGACTTAGGACTGACATGGGAGTACTTTAGATCAATCATTTGATCCTCCCGCTGTCCGTTGCAAGTTTCACCGGGACAGACTGTCACCCTTGCTGTCACCACTGATCCCCGACGTGAGAGATTCACTCAATCTCTCTAAGTTTTTGTCTAGTCGGCCCTAAAGTCATATGAAGAACATTATATGTTGAGATATTGGAGCATAAATGTAATATCTTATGCATATGGTATGGTCCTAGTAGCTTGTCAATAGTAGATTTCTAACTCCCATACAGATTGGCTTTAATTATTGCAAATTATATTGTGTTATAGCACATTATACTGCCCCCAAAATAATTATACATAATTTGGTCTAAGCTACCTTGGGAGGTTTTTCCTGATGTGGCGGCTATGCAGACAGCCTGGGAGAAGATGCACGAGCATCTCCCGGTTTTCCAAGAGCTTGGGCCGGAACGAGCTGACTTCAATATACCCAAACTTCACAACATCCGACATTATATCGATTCTATTCGTCTACTGGGCTCTGCGGATGGCTATAATACTGAAAATACCGAGCGCCTACATATCGACCTCGCGAAAAACGGCTATCGGGCATCCAATCGCCGCGATTACGTGCAGCAGATGACACGCTGGCTGACTCGGCAAGAGGCTGTCCACCGTTTCTCCCTGTATTTAACATGGGCATGCCCTGGGTATTCACCGGGACAAGGCTACCAACGACCTTCGAATGTTGATTGGGACGACTGGGACCAGGCAGATGACGTCAATGGTGAGGAGAATGGCGACGGGGACTCAGACGATGAGGAGGAGGATCCGGAGCAGATCACGTACAATATTGCCGCTCGACCTGCTTACCCAAATCTTTCTGCTTCCGACATCGAGACGAAATTTGAAGTGCGCGACTTCTTGTTCTACATGAACCAGTATCTGGCTCTGCACCAACTCCCTGGTGGTGGGTTACTGGGTCCAACCACGCGGTTTGGTGCATTCAAAAAAGCCGCTCTTCATCTTCCCATTCTTCGTGCGGCTGAAACCGAATCCGAGAAGGCCGATGTGATTCACGCTGTCCTCGCAACTGAAGGCCTAATCTCTGACAAGGGAATCAAACGAGGTAGTCCAGCTCGGTCCAGCACTGTCCTTGTCCGTGTCGAGCCGAAAGACCGGGAACAAGGTCCACTCAGTGGTAAATTTCGTTTTTTTTTTTTTTTTTTTTGCGACATAGCTCATAGGACTCCACTACAGGTCTCCAAATTGCACATGTCAAGCTCATATTCCGTCTCCCGGCTCACATCGCACCTCATACACATCCTCTTCTCTATGTCCACTGGTTCACTCCATTCCGTGATACACGAGCCGATTTTGACTCCCCTTCCGGCCTCTCTCGTATTTCCCACTCGACCACTGTTGGACAACGGCGTTCATCGATCATTTCCCTTGCCGATGTTATTCAAACCTGTCATCTCATCCCCAAGTTCAGTTCAACCGTCAGCGCTAACTGGGATTGTAACAGGGTTTTGAACGAGGCTACTGTTTTTTATTTCAACCCGTACTTGCGAAATCGCGATTTTTACCTATTCCGTTATGGTATGTACCTTGTATCCGAGTATCATAAGCGTAGGCAGGCTGAGTTAGCTGCAACGCTTGCAAGGGGTGCAAATCGTATTCATTTTTGACCAACTTCGAATTTTTACTGTGACCATAAGTATAATATATCTACTCCAGCAATCTTAAGCTTTCATAACTGCAGGCCAGCACTATGGAAGCTACTATAAGATTGGCTGAATGGCATATAGTGCTACAGAGTGCTACGTGGCATTGACTCCAGGGTACCGTAGTGCTATGCTGGCTACAAGACCATGCGTAGCTTTGGCTGAGCATCTCATAGCAAAAAATGGGTTTCCTGATGTATAGTCAGACATTTTCTCAGTAAATATTAGGTGAAACAACCCCAAGCTCTTTTTCTGACATTTTTCAGGCAAAAGTTGTGGAAAACAGTTTAAATTTTCACTTGGAACAAAATTATTCAAATTTTTCATCTCACTTTTCACAGTGAAAATTGTGGAAACAGCACAGTGAGGAAATTATGTGTTTGGTTGGCTAATTTCACCCTGATTATTCCAAAGAAAACTAAAGCATTTTTAAAATGTTCAACAAAGGAATAAAGGTAATAATTGTTGAGGATGGAGGTGGAGAGAAGAGGCGCAGAGGAGCAGATGGGTAGAAGAAGAGTATGATTTATTGGTAGCTAATACAAAGGTTTATATAGTATTGCTGTTTGTTCTAGATAGTTCTACAAGGAGGGAGAATAATAGTAAGTGGAAATGGACAGAAGCTTGGGGAACACCGGAGTTCCGGGCTTGGTAAGCACCTGCTGGTGATGAATCCCAACAATAATGGGCCAAAAAACCCTATCTCTATCAATTAGAAAAAAGACTTTAAAAGGGCAAGTGGATAGAAAAAGAAATCTATTGCCAGTGGGGGGGGGAATAGCTTCCCAGATTATGGTAAAAATACTTGCCTATAGATGCAAATACCAGGGGAGCCTCCACTTTCCCCTCCTTCAGACTCTCTGAACTTTGCATCTGAAGCATGTCCCGCTCACACCCCTTTGAATGCCCCAAGCCAACCTGACTGCCCTCCATAGCCTCTACTGCTTGCACTATCATCAATCTGTCAGGGGAAGCCCCCTTTCGCCCCCCTCAGAGACGTAGGGTGCAGTTTTTTGATCCAGTTTACAAACCGGTTTATAAACCAGTGTTTATAAGTTTATAAACCAGGCTAGTCACGTGACTTAAGTGATCCAACTACTGCTAGCTGATCAACGTTATTAATTATAAGTCCTGTACATTATATATAGTAAATTATCACCTGTACCACAGGTTACTGAGAGAAAAGAGGTATGAAGAGCCTCTGGGTTGCCTTACAGAAGAATAGAACTTTCTTGGTCACAAGGAGCCTTTTTGTATTATCATATTAGAGATTATCAGCACTTGGTTTTCCAAAATATTTGAGGGAGATTGATCTACTAATAAGACAAATTTGAGAACAGGTTCAAATACTAGGGGCCTTTGGCGCTTGCGGCCATAGGCGGGGACCTTGCTTTTTCTGGTATAAACACCAGTGTATGATTCCTCAGTTTGGCACTTAGCATCAACTTGAAGTCTTTTCTTCGTTTAAGCAAGGTAATTTTACAGTGAAAATGAATGGCTTTCACCACTCAGTTATAGCTGCACTGCTAGAAATTTTCAAAGAAAAGCCTTGGCATCATCAAAAAATTATTTCTGAAATTCAGAGGCGTCACAGGCAAGTATAAAAACTCATTTATTTATGAATTAAACCATTTGTTTATGGCAGAGGAAATTTCATTCAAAAAGTAGTCTTTTAATTAACTTTTGCAGCCTAATTTTCGGAGTCAGACTAGGGCTCGGCACCGTACGTACCGTATACGGTACGTGACCATTTACGGACGATACGGGCCAAGTTCGGACCTTACGGCGGTACGGACAAGCGGCCGGCCGGCCTCACGGTACGGTACGGACGTCTACGTTGGGTAGACCGGCCGCGTATCACGGCCTCGAGCCCGCGTTATTGGTGAGATCCACGATTTCCATGCGGTCACTCGCCAAATCTGTGGCCAGGGAGTTGGAACAGCGGCCCGGTGATCCCATCACCGTATCGGCCCGCACGTACGGATACGATACGGAGCATACGGTCCACTGTCGGAGCTCCACGGTACGGACATTTCGTCCGTACGTACGTCCGTATGCCGTATGGCTACGGATACGGTGCCGAGCCCTAAGTCAGACTATTGATCGATGCATCGTCCTTGGTCACAAATTAGCTTGGCTTTCTCTGCTTCCATATTGTCGTTGCAGCTGAAGTCTCCGGCCCCCATCCCATCTCACTCTGAACCTTGCGAAACACTGATGGACAAGAAATATGGTCGCAGCCCATGCCAAGCCTAACCCGACTTGACCTAGCGCAACCTAGCCCACATTCAAACAGCAGCCGCCTTTGTCGGCTCCCGCGCACATTTCCCGCTGCCCGCCACATGTTACTTTGCCGGCTGACCGATCCCGACTAGCAATGTGGCAGGGCCGTCATTATCGGCCGCCTACGAATATCACTATGCCACGTCATTTATCCGTCCTGGCCAGCTGGAGTATATGGGCTGTGGCATCCTGCCTTCCCTGTAGCTCTGTGGGTCCGTGTGAAGGTACGCAACTTTGGCAAGGTGGACCCTACTTAGAGGAAGATCTTCCAGTCCACTTATCATAGCGTAGCTGATCTTGATGGTCTTGCCAATCACAACGGAAGACAAGCGAATGGCTCCAACTGTCGAACGTTCATAAATAAAAGCTGATCCTGTCGTTCGTCCACCCTTCTTCCGCAATCCCACCACCCGCTCCAATGGCGCTTTATTCGTCGCAGCTCCTCGATACGCCAGCTACACACTCACGCTACTCCGTTTTCCGCTTATTAGACGCCGCATGGTCGACCTTCACTGAAACGCTCAGCAGCACAAGCCTCCGCGCACTACACCCTATCGCCCGAAGGAATATTGAAGGGTGGGTCTCGAGTCTTCTTTTCGCGTCCTTCCCGTTTCCGTGGCGTTTCATCCTTTCCTTGGTTGACACTTCTTACATCAATCCATCTATCACATCAATTACTCACTGCCTGGACAGGCTTCTCGCGAACATCACCGTCGGAAAGCTCACCGTTGCCACGGCCAGTGAGTCCGGCTCAAACGCGGATGACCATGTGGTGGACTTTGGCCAGACGGATGCCGAGCCACTGCTGCACGCAACGCTGCGCGTACGCTCGCCGTCGTTCTGGATGCGCGTTGCGCTCTTCACGGACCTCGGGCTGGCGGAGGCGTTTATGTTCGGTGACGGTGTGTTTCTCCGCTCTCGTTAGGGCTTAGTGCTGACGACCATCGTTAAGTCGACTGCGACAATATCTCCGCGCTGATTCAGGTCGGCGGCTTCTTCATGAGAACCGTTCCTGACCGCTCATTTGCCCGTGTAGATCCTGATTGCCAACCGCGAGGTGCTCACAGGCGTCGATACGCTGTTAGCGTCGGTGTTGGCGAGGGGCCGGGCTTTGACGAGCAACAAGTTTATCGGCAGCCTGGCTAATTCGAGGGCAAATATCTCAGCACACTATGACCTTGGGAACACCATGTGCGTTCAGTCTCATTCGAGCTTCTTTCAGACGTCTCAAGAGTCCAGGTTCTCGAGCTTTCTCAGCGCGGATATGAACTACTCGTCGGCGATATTCAAAGACTTCGACGAGGATTTGGATAACAATGTCAGTGCAGACGATAGGGAGTCGTTGGAGGAGGCTCAAATGCGAAAAGTTCGGTGCGTTCCATCCATAGCATTCGTGCATTCCCACTTTGACGGGCTGGTTAGGTTGGTTCTCAAGAAGGCGAACATCTTACCGGGACAACGAGTACTCGAAATTGGCGCGTCTCACCCTACAACTCCTCCCTCCGTAGCGCTTACCATCGGCAGGTACGGGTTGGGGTTCCCTTGCCATCATGGCTGCCAAATCGTTCCACTGCACCATTGACTCCTTGACCCTCTCATCTAACCAAGCCGCTTTAGCGCGTACTCGAATTGCGGAGGCAGGCCTCTCCGACGCGATCACGGTACATTGCATGGACTTCCGTCAATGCAAGGACAAGCCCGAGTGGAAAGGGGCCTTTGACAGATTTATTAGCGTGGAGATGATCGAGCACGTCGGGAAGGACTTCTTTGAAGAGTATTGGGCCGTCGCGGACTGGGTGTTGAAGGAGCGGACGGGCACCGGGGTCGTTCAGGGAATTACGATTCCCGAAGCTCGTGCGTCATGTTCTTCTCTCGTGTCCTAGTTCACTAAGGCAGGTGACCAGGCGTCGCAGGGTACGAGACGGGTGTCGATTTCATACAGAAATGGGTACGTCGCCAGCCGTCCTTTCTCCGTTGCCTGCCGTGCTAATCCAAGCGTCAGAGTGAGCATTCTGTTGGTCTTGTGGTTGGCGTCCAGCTAATCTCATTATTAACTAGTCTTCCCCGGGGGCTACCTGCCTTCTATTTCCTTCTGGATTCAAACTCTGAACGCGGGCTCCTCTGGTAAACTTGTCGTCGATTCGGTGCATAACATTGGCCCGCACTATGCACGCACCCTGCGCGAGTGGAAACGAAGATTCCTGGCGAACTGGGAGGGTACCGTTCGACAGGCCCTCGTCAAGCAGTACGCGCTGGACGACGCGGCATTAGAGCTATTTAGGCGAAAGTGGATATGTGCGTTTTCAGCTGACTGGCTTATGACTGCGACTAAACGGCTTCTCAGATTATTTGTACGACTCAACCACTCTCTGCTGAACTGCTTATTGAATTAGTACAGCGACTATTGTGAAGCTGGCTTCAAGACACGGACACTAGGGGATCACATTGTCACCTTCACGCGCGAAGGCAATGTCGGGTTTGGATGCGACCTTGAATTATCTGGACTCTGATGATAACTATGACCTCGTAATTTATTTGTGCATTATATTACTTGACCATAATCCAAGATGGAGCAAATTGGTTCGAACTATCTCTCTATAGAAGCTGATGTTTAAATTTATCAAAAAAATCTGCAGGTATGCTGAATGTTGAGACACTCTATTAGGTAGATTATTCTCCCTTTGTGTATTTCCGTAGCTCTTATTCATGCTTTGAATCCTCCCCTGCTAGGACTCTTGTCAGAGCCTCCAGGGTTGCCCTTACTCTGACAACCCGATTCAACCCTCAAGGGACCACTTCAATGGGCCCTTTTGGCCCTGCTTGCTGCACTTGTGGGCCCAACAATTTGGCTGTTCTGTTCTGGACATGTGCCTCTCACACTGGGGGCACAGCCTACGGCGTGCCGGAACACGCGTTCCAGCCGCGTGGCTGTCCCTAGGCTGACCCCGGACCTACCGCGGGCTCGCCTCTGGCTCACCTCTAGTCACCGGTGTCTTTGTGTCGTCCCACAAAGAATCGCGAGTGTGTAATTACTCATGACAGGAAAATGATGGCCCGGCTTATAGATAATCCGCCCAGGCACATGGCCAGCAGCAGCTGATGAATCCGAGTCCGTGTCTCGGGCCGTATGCCGACGGGTGTGGGAAAGGCTTGCTCCGGCTTGACTTCAGCCCAGAAGGCTGTTTCAGTTCTGGCGCCCCACTAGTCCTCTGTCTGGAAGTGTGTTGTGCAGTAATATTTAGCCAATGCGTAACTTCTGACTGCTATAAGATATAGGAAATTGGTTAGACACAACCATATATTCATAATTAATAACAAAACAAAAGATAATAAAATTCAAAGATATTATTGCTAATCTCCTATGTTTTACGGCCACGGTTTAATGCCCAACAGACTACCATTGACTTTCCACTGATCCCCTTATATGTTTTGGATGGCCTAACCCAAGCTGATAAATGGGTGATAACATGCTGAGGCTCAATAACAGTTAAAGTTTTATAGGGCTCAACTGCTACTAAAGTTGTCATAAGCTTGGGAAACTCTTGGAAGGGTGTTTGACTAATATCCAAAGTACGGTGCTGTTTGATAAAGATGAACTTTCGGAGAAAGCCATGGAGAGGAATTTCCAGGATTCTTTCAATGCGACCAGTCTTGTATGCTTGAGGATTATCTGGAGACTGGAACTGTATGAGACAATTGCTCTTGTGTGAATCAAAGCAGCTATAGGTTCGTCCATTTTCATGATATTGCCGAAGACGTTTGGCATTTGGAGGAAGTGTCATGTTCCTGTGTGCACCATCTGGCAGACTCCGATAGTCAATATAAAGCTCATGATCTTGGTTCAGATAGCCTAGAAGTAACCTATATTCTTTATCTGACATGGCTGGATTCTTGAAAAGAAATTGAGCCAAATCATCTTCACTGAGTTCAACTGTGCCTGAAGGTTTGATAATAGATGGCTCTAAGATCTCTGCTAATTTCTGTAATGATGCATTTTCAAAGTCTTGATGGTGCAGATATGCCAGTAAACGACATCCACGGGCAATTCGTGTTAGCATGGTTAGATCCATATCCACTAAACAATTGATAAGCCATACAAATATCAGACTTCAGAGTCCATACCAAGTTTGTTATTTGTCTTTGTTTTCTGAAGATCACCATTCATACGTTCACCCCAGTACTCACTCAGGGCAGGTGCAGGTCCCCAATAATTCATCTGAGCCTCATTATGCAAAGCATAGTGGGTGTTTGGAGGCTCAACAATATCTGGGAATATACTTTGGGTCTTCATTCTCCATTGAAGAATATGTTCAGTATATTCCTTGGCATCATCCTTAGATGTTTGGAAAGATGCAATAATATTTGTTGCAGCAACAAGATGATAGAAGTGCTCCAACATGTGGCTGCTAATATTTGCATCTTCATGCAACTGGACTTCAGGGACAACTAGAGGAAGAATCACTGTAAACAGTATTAGATACTGATCTGCTTTGAGTTTGCCATGTTTCTTGTCTCCTAGATTATTGGGAAGGCCTGTGACATGGGTTGGAAGCAGGACCTCCTTGATACATGTCTGGAATTTTGCAACCACTGACTTGGAAAGCTTGTAATTGCCAAATACAGCTACATCTTGAAACTCATCATCATCATCATCATCATCATCACCATCATCAGGATCAGGATTACTCTCAGAGTCAGAGTCTGGTTCTGAAGGAGCTGGAGTAGCATGAGGAGTACTTTCTGCAGAGTCTGAATCGGATTTGTCATCTGCCAATTCCATTTCAATATCCTCTTGTTGAGATAGGAATATGCTGGGTTGAGGAGTGAGACTTCTAGACTGAGCAGAGCCTGATTGAGATCTAGTTCTTCCTAGCATTTCAAAGTCAGCAGCAGGAGCAAGTCCATCTGCCTCACTCCCTGCCTCTGTTCTATCAGCCTCTGAATAATTTTCAAGATCCTTGACATTCTTCAACTCAGTTTCCTTCTCCTGAGTCCGGCCAATACCATAGATAACACGGAGCTGGAATTTCAGAAGACCTTCACAAGTATTGTGCATGAACCCTAGAATTGTATCCTTAACAGGATTCCAGTAAGGAAGCAGATGAAGTGATGAGGATCGGACTCCATTTTTTGTTGCAACTGCATTTCGCCGATCTATTGTTTCCTCTTTGAGCCATTCCTGTGCATTTTCTCGGACTCCCTGTCCTGTACGCAAGACCCAGTTTCCATGATCAAGACGGTGGTTTTCATCAGAGGTGAGAAGACATGCCCAGCAGTACTGTCGGGCAATATGAGATAAAAATCCAGATGCCTCCCGGGCTGCCAGCAGATCTGCAACTAGTGGAAGAATGCGAATTTGAACTGAAACCCCTTCAGGATGTTCATAGGTCTTGTGCATTTTGCCTGGTGGCTCATATGCTAGGATTGATTTCACAACAGAGTCAAGAATATGACGTAGTGTGATAGCATCTGGCTTATCAGGACTTGGGACAAGGGCAAGAATATATAGGTTTTCTCTGCGATAGCGGAGTTCTGGAGGTAAATTCAAACAGCAAAGAGCAATTGCACCACATGACACTTGTTTCCCTAATGAAAATTCAATATCTATTTTTTTTTCCAAAAAAAATATTGAATTAAATTACCTGCAGTCTTGTTGAAGTATGGATTAAACCAATCAATGTACAGAGCAAAAACCAGATTATGTTTGGTGCTAAGGTAGTCTGTCAACCCAAGCCAAGCTGCACTATCTCTGAGATCACTGATAGGTGCACTTGATGCAAGAATATCTCTATCAATTGCAGTACCAAGACTTTGTTCTATAGCCCTCTGTGAAACAAAGAATTGAACCCAGTCATCTAAATCTTGAGTATTGAATGTACACTGGGGAACATCCTTAGTGCCAGTTGCAGTTTGGCGTTGCTGATGCAGTTTAGTATTGCAACGCCTTGCATATTTAGATTGTCTATATTGGCAATATTCAGGAATATCTGCAAGATCTCCAGAGTAGAGTGTGTAGCATTTTCGGCAGCAAACAGTTCGATTGATCTTGGGCTCTATATCAGAGTCCTTATGGATGGTCCTGATATCTAGAGAAAACTTGAAATCTGGCAGTTTTACATCCTTGATTCCCTGTGCAAGCAAGACAAGTCTCACAACTTCCATAGCAGTTGTCAAAATAAGATCTAGAGCCTTGAGGAATGTGTTGATAGTTTGCCTGCTGATGTTACCCTGAACATGAAGCCACATAGCAAGTGTTGAAACAAGTTGAACAACTAAAGTGATTCCTTCAGTAATGTTTCCCATTTCTGGTTCTATTTGAAAATGTGGATTTTTTAAACAATTTACCAAATATGTCCTTACCAGAGTCACTATCATCAGAACCATCAGGTGGATTTCCCACTGCAGCTGGACCTAGAACTTGTATAAATTCCTGAAATATTATAGAAACTAATCTACCTTGTGCTGGACCTGTGTTATTATTTTCAAAATCTGTATCTTCAAGATCTGTTGAAGAATTTCTACTAGGAGCTCTGGTTTTACGTGAGCGCTGTCGACCTTGCCTAATGGGGCCACGGGAATGAGCATCACGTTCCTTTGCAGTGACCATCTTGCCAGGCTGTGGTATCCCATCAATTTCGATAGTGCTCTCATTGCACTTGAATTCAGAGCAGGTGCAGGGCACCAGAGGACGACGAGTTCTCCCAGTCATTGGGGGGAGGACAGAAAACTCGGAGCCCTCTGTCTTATCTAGCGGATGCTCGCCCCTGCCAAGGCTTATCACTATCTATCATATGGCCTCCGGCTCAAAAGAGCAAGATAGCCGGAGGTGAATTGCAAGAAGCAATTCTCGTCCCGGAACTACGTCATATTGATCGCGATCTTCCGGCAATCGGGACGGTGACATGCGACGGGTGTGTGACCGTGAGTCACACACCTCCTCATCATCCCCCCACATCGCCCTCCAACGGGGTCCCCAGTCGAGAGGGGTGGGGACAAGTTTTGTATGCTCTTTCAACTTGTACTGTGCTTCTGGGTGAATGAACGACAGTTTGGATGGGGGTTTTAGAGTGTTGGTCTTGCGGAGACGGGGCCTCGATGTATAGTGAGATCCATGTCCAGTTAATAAGAATTACTCACCGCTTGCCACGCGTCTTTGTAGGTGCACGCTTCCACTTTGCCATCACATTGTCGTCGAGCCCGCCGGAAAACCATGCCAGCAGCGGGATGACGGCCTGGCTTTTCGCATGCTTGATAGCTGTAGGTGATCTTCTCGCCTTGGACTATAACCACTTCGGGAGTCTCTAAAGCTTCATCGTCTGAGTGGGCTGCTGGATTGCCAACCATTCGGAGCAGAGGCTTCCGGAGTCCAAGTGCCT